GCCAATTTCTAGAGGATATTCCAATATGACCTAAACCTGTACCAGCAATTTGTATACATTGCGATAACCAATCTGCAATTGGTAAGTCACAGAGTGACATGCATAATGGTAAGTCTAGACATATACTTCGTAGACATAATACCGTTAGACAATTACTCTCAAATGAGATTATTTTTATTGATTATATAAAGTCAAAGGATAATCTAGCGGACTCGCTTACAAAAGGTTTGACGAGAGAGCAAGTAAATTGCACATCGAGGAGAATAGGATTAAAGCCTATGACACAAGAGTCACCTTAATGGCAACCCAACCTAATTGACTGGAGATTCCAAGATCTAGGTTTAAAGGGACAACCGAATTATGCGTGATTCAAAAGAAGCACTAAGGAGATAAATTCTCCAACCTATTCCTATGATAACCTAGTGCTGCCTACAGAGTTTATTAGGGTAAGCTATGCTTTTAATGACTTTTATACATTGGTAAATCTAAATGGAATATTGCAGGATATTCCTAATAGGAGTCACCTATATGTGTGTGAAGGGGCCGCTTCTATGAGAATTTGTAAAGGCTGAATTCTCTAAAGCATTCATGAAAACAAGGAGTTGTTCAGGGCCAAAATGAACACAATCATAAGAACCAACTGTGTTAGGAAAGAGACTGTGTGAAGTCTATTTGATCTGATTTATCAAAAAGTTGAATAGTTCAAGACATCACGTTCACTATTTAGTTGGTAAGTCTGGTGGGCTTTCACTAAGGAAGGTTCAAGGCCAAAAACTACCTATCTCGATGCATGATCTTTTCAAAGATGTACTCTCTATAGTGTGTCAGTATTATCATTTGCATACTAACAGCCAATTTTCCATTCATGCGGGGGATTATTGAACCAAAACAGTTTTTAAGTATAAAAACTGAGTTTTTTGTCGACTTTGAGCCTAAATTAAAGTGGGATCTAATTGTTATTTTGAATAAAATTTTGTGGGTTCATATTCTACTCCGTGAGGAGAATAATGTAATATATTCACTTACTCAAATCGAGTAAAAAATGAATGAGAAAATAGGCTCCAAAGTGACCCTCTTGAAATGTGAAAATAAAGGAAGTGCAATATGGGATGTGACACCAATCCCATATTGGTTGAAGAAGAAATTCAACATGGGCATATATAAGCCAAGTTTACTCTATGGGATTGGATCCCAAGGAGTACCACATTTTTATGAGCGGAGTGAGCACCTACATGCCTTCGGTTCAACCACACACGCGCGCGCCGCCCGCCCGCCTTCCTTGCCTCGCCACGACCACGACCACGACCCGACTTGGCGGGGCTCAGGTACGGGTGTGGGTGTGGTTTAAACTAAACCCTATCTTTTTGGAAAAAAATTATTTAATTAATTGGACAAGAATTTCTTAATCCAAAATTTAATTTTGGTACCCGTTGGATCGCATTGGGTTAGGTTTGTTGCCTCCCTCCAGACCGAATTAACTTGTGACTATTCATGGAAAACAATTACTCAAGGTGTCTACTGACTGTTGTGTCTAATCATTCTGGGTTGTGTCATTTAGTAAGGTGACTATCCGGAAAGTCACCAACGTGTCTATAAATACCCAGTTTATGCATGCACTCATAATTATTCTTCAATTCATTCAGTCCATTTTCGACATTAAGCAGACATTAGAACATATTATTTTCGGTATTAAGGCAATGCATTTAGAGAGTACACAACACGATTTTGGTTCGCTGGACTAGCAGATTGGAGTGCTACTTCTATTCGTATAAAGATCATTGTATCTTGGGAGGCAGACGCTCGGTTTTCATAAGCACCGTGTGTGGGGGCAAAATCTGTCTTAAAGACATAGTGTCAAACACTAGCTTTGATCTACTTAAAGTTCAATAACAGTTCATGTTCTGCAATTGAGTTAATATATATAGTGTTTAAACAAACAGTAACGTGTATCTATTTACTGTTACTGTTTCGCTACCCTACTATAATTCTTTCGTTTCTGTGTAACTCTTTACTGTAACTGTTTTGTTATACTTTACATGGTTCAAATCAAAATTTAAAAAGTGATTTTATAATATTTGGCACACCACAAACAACAAATACTTCCCAAGGATACTTAGCAAATTACTTGCACCTATTCCTTTGCCTTAATAAAAAACAGAGAATCATTTGCAAACAAGAGATGAGAAACAACTGGACTCCTTCTATTAACTTTAACTCTCAAGAATATGTGCTCTTCCACTCCCTTTTGTAGCAACATAAACAACACATCTACCGCCAAAATAAAGATATAAGGTGAAATTGCGTTCCCTTGTCGGATACCCCTTTGGGGGTAAACCACGAAAGGGGAGAGAAATTTAGAAAGCTGATTATGTACGTATGTTATAATAAACCAAACACTTATACCAGCCAATTACACAAAATTATAACATCAACTCAATTTGTCATTCAATTGCTTACACAAACCAAATAATTGCACCATTTAGTATCACGATATTATTACACTAATTATCTACATCAAATTTGGTATAATGATATAGTCTTTTGTGTAATAATAAACTCAATTTGGTGTATATAATTGGTATAACTATGTCGTGATAGTAAATGGTATAGCTCTTTAGTTTATGTAAACAACTGAATAAAAAATTGGGTTAGTGTTCTAATTTCGTATAATTGTTTAGTGTAATTACTTGATTTATTATAACACATAAATAACTGTTTGATGTATTATATAGTAATTATAACCAATTAGTATAACTGATTGATGTACTTATATTGTTGAAACATTGATATAAGGAAATAAAGAATAATGATGAGAGAAAATAGGGGGAAAGTGAGAGAGAAAGAGAGAGAGAGAGAGAGAGAGAGAGAGAGAGAGAGAGAGATGAAAAAATTAAATCAAGTCTTTTCATATTTAGAAAAATTAAATTATCAATGTGAGAGAGAGGGATAGAGAGAAAATAGGGAAGAAAGACTGAGAGAGTAACGAAGAGAGAGAGTTCAAAAAAATGCACTTAAGGTCAAATAAATTTTTTTAATATAGTTTAATTCAGTTAAGTCCAAATTTTTGTACCGAATTCTAAGTTCTCCCCTAAATTAGGCCATGGCAGGGTGTCCTGCTTTATGCATAAATTGAGGGTCTAAATTTTTTTGTGATGTCCCGCTTTGTATTTTCTGTCTACTCTTGTGCATCAAAGTCTTTAATTCAGCAGCATCACTTGAATTTAGTTTACTTACAGTTGAATGACTGAAATTAACAAAATTGAAAATTTAACGAATAAGACAAGTATTGGAATAAAATTTAAATTTAAATATATAAAATACAATTAACGCCATAGGTTATGAATCAAATGGAAAACGAAGTATCTGATCACAATCCACACTACCCAACCTAATAAGGAGAACTCTGGTGGGCTGGCCCAAAGTGACGAGGTAGTACGTCTCATGTTTTCCACGTTGTCTCGAGCCCAAAAGGCCTATAAATCTGTTTTCTTTTGAATTTCAGGATTTTATGAAGGGAGCGGTCTGGACCAGGGGTGTTCAAATTGTCAATTGATCGTAATATTTTATCCTATCGATTATACATTATCCTACTGAACAGTTAGTCAAAAAAATTGGATAGAAATGCTAAAGAGTTTTTGATCTTCTAATTAAATCGGGTAGAAATGCAGAACGCTCATCAATTTTCTCATTCCTACCTTACTCTATTCGCATTAATTAATTAATTAATTTATATATATATATATAAATTAAAAAAACTCTAATTGCTAATCAACCTTATCGTCTACTGACTAAATGAGTGCCTCACTCCACTCCTCTTGCCTCTATCGACTTTCATCGCTCAAGACTCTGCCTCTATAACTTAGGACTTCATCGTTCAGTCACAACCTCCCCATGTACTCTCTCTCTTTCTCTCTCTATCTATCTCTCTTTGCCTCTGTTTGGGCACAATCTCGTGGCCTTTATCGTTCAAGCTTAATTTTTTTTTTAAGCATCAAGTTAATGAACCTCAAAATCAAGTTAACTTTCGAGCATCGTTCAGGCATTATTTATTTATTTATTTATTTTTTTAATCTTTCAAAACTTATCCGGTTAACATAAAAAATCGAGTAATTATTATTGTAATTATTTTAAATTTTAGTGTTATTGATTTATTGTATTGTTAAATTGGTTCATGTAATTTAATTGAATTATTAAAATAATCCAAAAATTAATAGTTACAAAAGTGTTTACCCAACTTCCTACCCGATTAATTGGGTAAGAATACCATACCTGATTGGGTAGGGTAGATCAAGAAAAAAATTTTTGCAAAGTATCGCATAAAAAGACGAAAGACTATATTTTCTAACCGTAGGATAGGGTGAACACTCCTAGTCTTGACGCGGAGAAAAAGTTGTTTTATTTTGAGTTGTGTGTTAAGAGTTCAAGTCACAAAAATAGTATCTCCACATGTAAGAAGTAAATTTGTGTACATCTAACTTAGATTCTGCAGTAAAAAATATCTCGTGCACCGGACCTTCTTTTCTTAAGATAGCTAAAATTAGATCATCCCTTTGTCCGTGGCTAATTTGATTTTTTTTTCACTTGGGCCCGATAATTCCCATAAGGCGCATATGACTTTTGTCTAACTCCCATAGGGTGCATATGAATTTTGTCTCATCACACCCCCTCAACCCCCACCCCACCACCAAAAAAACAAACCTCCGCCACCAGGACAAGGCGGTTACTATGTTTAACACTGGATGAGTAATCTCTGAAACCATAATCAAAACAAACTTTAACATTATCCACCCCTTCATAGCATAAGGGACCAAGTTCTACTATGTTTTTTTCTTCTGAAAAATACATTCATGCTTTGTCACGTATTCACATACACACAAAATACACAGAGATGCCGAAACAGTTTACAAGCGATAAATGTCGCCTGGGACATGACCGCAGTTTCATCAGTTAAAACTGCCATTACAAAAACCATACCCTTAAGCCATAACCAGTAATGGATTTCAACCAAGCAGAAGTTCCCTCAAGATTTGTTCACATAAGCTGCTGTCATATGTCAAGAAATGCCCAACATCAGGAACCTCATGATATCGAATCCATGGAAGCTTTTGCGAAATATAACGGTTTAGTGAAGATGGAATAATTTTGTCTTCGCCGCCTTGCCAAATGTGAACGGAGCCTTCATTGTTAGGGAAAGGACAGATTACATCCATGGGATCAAATTCCCATTTTCCGTAACCAGCAATTATATCACGATGCAGAGATTCGTGAACACCTTGTTGTCGTATCTTTTCCTGAAAACAGAACATATCCCAAGAATTATCAGTGGCAGATTGATTTGATCTCACAAAAAATAACTCCATATCTCACCTCCTCACATATAAGCTTTACGTCTTAACTGGTAAAGATGTGGTATTTTAAAGAAGCAAATTTGTCTGAACATATTTTCAATTTTGTCAGACAACTAGTGCCAAAGCTAGGACTCTGTGGTCTTAATAACTCCCCACTCCCATCAAAAGGTTTCTGCGGAGGATTTCTGTAATATGTTTATGGCGCATAACTCGATAACACATCTATCTGAATACGTTTACATGCCTAGCAGGATTAAGAGAAAAATATGTATAACTATTCTGGGAAAAATACTAACATGTCCTCTTCAGGCAACAATATCTATGGAACTTTATTCAATTGTTGTATAAATCGTGTAAAAAATTAAGGGCAAACTTCACTTTACCCCATGTGGTATACTTCAAATGCACTTTATCTCTGTGCATTTTAGAAATCTCCACATAACCCTCACATGCTTAGTGGACTATACCGTAAATTACATTTTCGGTCTAATTTAACCGACCGTGCTCCTTAAGCTCTAAAAGTAAGAGTTTGCCTCAAAAACATATTTTTAAATGACCAAACTATCATACCCAGCTGACCCAAAAAAAAAAAAATCATCGCCTGCACCCAATCCCTCCCTCGCGCCTAAACCATCATCATCTGCTAGCTTTTTCTCTCTCTCTCTCTCAGTCCCTTTGTCAATCTCTCTTAGTCACCCCCCTATACTCTAGCGACCCACACACACACACAGAGCACACGCAGGCAGGCAGGCACATACACACAGCACCGTCCCTTTCTCAAAGGCAACTGAACAAAGTCCAAAAAAAACCCACCAAATCGTTATCCACCAGTATTTGAACTCAACCATCTTTGTAGACTCAGATTAATGGAGGAACAGTGGCGGAGGCGCAATAACGGTGCAGAGAAGGTCTTGGCGCCAACAGTGATGTTCTGATTTTTATTTTTCAAATTTTAATTTTGATTTCATTTGTTTTTGCTTCTAGATTTTGACCTCATAATTTGATTTGAAATTTATTCCTTTAACTTTGGGCTGAAAGCATTGCATTCATGCCGCAAGAATGGCCTAAGTGCTTTGCCGGAGGGAGGTTGTAGGGAGTCTACTAAAGAAGAAGACAGAGGGAAGGGTATCAATGTCATTTTACTTTTTCTGTTAACGGAGTTAGGAGTGCACTTTAGTCCATTAAGCATGAGAGGGTTAAATGGAGGTTTCTAAAATGCAAGGAGGTAAAATGCATTTGGGGTATACCACAGGGGGTAAAATGAAGTTTGCCCAAAAATTAAAATATCCTTTCTAGGCGGCACTGCACATAGAACTTTAAACAGGTATTGAAAACAAAAACAACAACTTAGAGGGTGAGGCAATTTACCTGACCAACACTTGGGCTTTCCGACAACTTCTTTATGATCTCCAAATCTTGGCTGCTGAAAATAGCCATGTTCCCTGACATCATACTTAAAGAAGGGAACCATTTTTGAGTCATCCACCAGTTAAATAGCCAAGGGGTGTAATGTGCAACCCGAAACGTCCACTGGTCTGACCCAACAAGTTTTTTGAAGGCTTCTTTAGATAAACTAGCAGGGAAAGAGGGCCACCAATAGTTGACAAATGGAACCACAAGTGAAGCTCCAGACAATCTGTGTACCAAATATAAATGAGAACTAAGCATTTGGCATTTAATGGAACAGAAAATATGAAACCACTAAATCAAATAGTATGCCTGTGTGGAATATATTTTAGGCAACTCCAAACAGGGTATGCTCCCATCGAGACACCGAGCACGTAAAACTTGGAACCAATCTGCAACTGGTCAGCTAGTTCTTGAATGTCAACTGCCTCACTCTTCACTGAGCGTGTTGGATGCGGATCACTTTCCCCATACCCTGCTCGGTCAAATGATAGGAAACAAATCTGAAGCTCCTCCACAAATTCCTGGAATTGTAAAACAGAGTTTTTAGAGAACCATATTAGAGCAATCCTAGCTTTAGATTAGAAAATTGGGAGAAATAATCGTACAATAAGCACAATAAACATCATATCTGGAACATTTTCCAAACATTGTGAGGTGTTGGACATCCTTTTTGAAAAATAAAACTCTATTTGTTTGAACTTACAATCAACAGTTACCACATTTGTATTACATAGAAGAATATGCATCTGTTTTGCGGCCTGACATGCTTCAACATCTCACATGCATCTGCAGCTGTATTATGTTTTAATACAATATACATTATACTTATCTAAAAAGGGATAAAACGAGATACACAAAGAAAAAGTGAAATAAAAAACCAAACATCAACTGAGTTACAAAAGTCCCATACCATTTTGACAAACCCATCCAATGTTCCCTTGCTATATCAACCAAAGGACTGCAGGGCAGCAAAGCCAAAATTCAAACTAGGGAGCCAATCCATAATAGACTAATTATAATATAGGATTCACAGGATCCGCATTCAGAAGATCCATAATTTAAGTAGGTTTTTCTGTAGGTTTGCCTCTGCAAATCAGGAGCACTAAAATTTGGTGTAAATATTTATATCATATAATTAATGATTACCACAGGGATTTCTCCCAGTCTTTGTAAAAAGAATCCTAAGCCTCGGGGTCCAGGATGCTAAATCTGGTTCTGCTGTTCACACCCAAAACCTCATCAACTTGACACATACCATTTTGATTTGGCTATTTCCTAAATACATAGTTAAATGCTACTAAATGTGCATTCTGGGTAGTTACTGATTAAGAACCTCATGTTTTTGCTCCATTGCAGTGATATGTGCATAGAAATCCAGCCACAATTTCAAAGCAAAATAAAAATGTAAAGTGAAAGTTAAATAGAGATATCGAGCATACTTGAGAAACAGGTAAACTGAAGTCTTTGGAGCCATCAAAGCCATGAATGATGATGATCTTGTACTTGGCCTCTTCCTTGCTGACCCCAGTCACCTTGTATGCCAAATGCCTCCCGTCACTGAGTTTGACTCTTGGTGAAGTAACAGGAGGACCACCTGGTGAACCACAAACATTGGGAGGAGGCGGCTTAATTGCAACATAAACCCAACCCAGAACTCCCACAACCATAGCTATTGCTATAGGTACAATCATTCCTACAAAAAGAGCATACATGTCATCAGCATGGTAGTGAAATAATAAGAAACAAATTTAACAATTAAAGCCAAAAACGAAGTTATTGAGCTCTTGAGAGCATAGCATTCTAACATCCTCAAAAAACACTTTAAACAAAGAAAGACAAGGTTTATGAGCTTGAAGCAAACAGTTCGAACAATATTTGTATATTCTCTCCCACATAATTATGGGTGGCCATTGGAAACACATCGGCAGTTTATCATGCTAATGGTCTAATATGTATTTTCAAGAAACTTGATTGCAATTTGAAACACAGTCTAAAACACTTGCAATACAAGCCCTCAACACGAAGCCTTCTCCATTCTGAAGCGGTAAGAAGCATCTCAGTATCAACGTGAGGATAAGAGGAATTTTCATATTGTTAATAGTAGAATCACAAATAGGAGTATTAAATAATAGTAGCAAAGAAATGACAGCATGACCGTCTACAATATTCTTGAACAACCATATAAAAACCAGGAATCAAGAGGGTATTACTCTTATAGTTAGAGCAAGATGAAGTGGGCACAAAAAGAATGAAATGGCACTGAAAGAAGAAAGGCTACTCAATAAAAATCTTCATCATATAGAATGCTCAGACGAAAAAACATGCTCGTAAAATAACCTTACATAGAATGAGGCCGAGCACATGGATGAATGGCTATACAAAAGAGAGAGATTAGAAATCAATGCAGTGGGTATTCAGCTAAAGCCCCTTATAAGTGAAATTCAAGGATACAGGTTGATCATCTGAAAGAAAACTACACAGGATAGTGCAAGTGATTCTAGAACAACAAAGTGGACTGGCAAATGGAGTTTCAAGTCAAGACCATAAGAAGTGCTAGAGTGTCACAGACTGAACAGCGTAAGTAAATCCACATGAAGCAGAATCTAAACCTGTATCCACGCAAACACATGTGATTGCAAGAAATTGTTAAGCTTGCTGTAACGGATAAATGACAAGGAAACACAAAAATACTTTGTTTAACGCCGCTCAATTAACCAATCCTCGTGCCTAACTGAATTCACATGATCAGAGAAATTCAGCTTTTGACAAGTTGAAGGCCATAAGAGCTCGAGCAAGTAATTGTCATCCTAAGAAAAACGAGTTTCAGATCACTCTATCTATACTTGTTTTTCTTAATGATCATTTCGCCGCATTCGTTTGCAAACTAAATTTCTTGTCTATCTTAATTTTCACCAGATCAAAATGCAATTTGATAACAGGAACTCCTTAAGTTTATTAAAGAATCTTTGTATTGACAAAAACTTTATTTTTTTCACAATTTTTGCAGTCTGAGAGGATAAAATCAGTATAACAAATTCACTTGCAAATAAATAAATAGTGGGACTTCTGATTTGTTAAAAGAAACAGGCTGATATAAGTTAAACATCAGTGCAGAATCTTTGGAAAAAAACATTCAAATAAAGAGAAACCCAGAAAAGAAAAACATTCAACTTCTGATTTGTACAAGGAAACAGGATGATATAAGTTAACCGCAGTGCAGAATCTTGAAAAAACATTCAAACTAAGAGAAACCCAGAAAAGAGAAAGCATTCAACTTCTAATTTGTGTAAAGAAACAGGCCAATATAAGCTAGTCACAGTGCAGAATCTTGAAAAAAAATTCAAATTAAGACAAACGCAGAAAAGATATGATCAAACACAGAGAAACCCACTTGAAGAAAATTGAACTGAGCTGTTGTGCTTTGTTTTCCTGGTGTGAGACCTAGCTGCTGCAGCTGATATCTTCCTGGTTTGAGCGGCAGCCATGGATAGGCCAACGTGTTAAATATCAAAAACACGACTGTAGTGAGTTCCACCTGGAACTGAAAAGATCCTACAGCAAGAACGTGAACCACACGATTAGGCAGCCACTGACAAAAACATTGTCGAGGATTTTTATCCAGAGAAGCAAATCACGAATTCAGCAAAAGGACAAGATTTAAAAATTAGACCGAATTATTATAGATGTTGATTTTATTATAAGTTTTAGTATTTATTTAATAATTATATTTATTAAATTTAATTTTTAAATTCATATAACATTTGTTGAATTTGTGGAACCACAGTTCGGCATATATTATCCTTGATAACCACTTTCTCTCTCTCTTGGTCTGATTGAAAGATTAGTTGTTACATTATTATTATTACTAATAAATCGGCCAAACCCAAATCTCCCACCAAAAAATAAATAAATAAATAACATTTGTCAGTAATTTTCCTTTCCTTTCCTTTCTTTTTTTTTTTTGGTCAGAATTTTTAAAAGAGTAAATGACATAGGTCGTATTACATGGGGATGGGGGCTCAAACGGACACCATTCTAGTGCCCAGATATAGAGGATTAACACTCCTACAAACCCTCATAGGTCTACTAATGTTTAATATTTGAACCTTGGCACAAAATTGCAATTTAGATGGATTGGGCGAGATTAACCTAGATATAATTTTGTTAGTAATTTTTTGTAATTGACAAATTTTGTAAGGTCATTATGTATTCTTGTAGCACAACTAAATTTATGAGTAAGAAGTTATTGAAGATCGAATACCGAAACAAAATGTGATCAAGAAACTCAAGCTACAAAATAATATAGACTTTTTGAATCCTATTAAGCTTAATTGAGGAAGGATATATAGTTTGATTTAATTTTTAAGTTAATTAATTAAATTTAGAGTGTGAGCATTTGATTTGTACATAACTCTTAATTTTGGTGTGAAAATATTTTTGAAATTTTAGAGTTTAATTTTTAAAAACATATTTTGAAAGGAGTCGTAGTATGTAAGATTTTAAGTGTTACCTTCTCCGTACTAAGAAAGTTGAATTAAATAGAGTAAGAACTTTGAGGGAAAACTAGTGACTAACGTTTCCGTAGCGTTTTCGAGAGTTTAAAAATTGGATTATACACAAAAAGATAAAATCAGTAGCAAGTGCTCAAGAAGTCCATGAAGAAAGGTAGAATATTTTGGTCCTGCGATTAACTCTCTTAATAAGACGGTGTATTTTAAACATATTTTTCTTATATTTCAATTAACCTCTTATTTTATATTCCTAAAACAGAGGACGTCTTCTCTAACCTAAGAGAGATCCAAGAAGGTTAGAGAGAGGCTACCAATTCAATAGAAAACTTACCCTTACATCAAATCAAATAGAAATTCAATTCTTATGAGATCAACGTTTTATTCCATAGGATTTTCAATAATAATTGTTGAAGATCTTTTAGATCCACCAAATCCACAACACAAAGGATTCAAGGAGGCTACCCAAGGATCAAATGAGGATTCCAAGAGAATATGAAGGAGGATTTCAATGACAGATCATAGAGTTTGATTTGTTGCTTTTGGAGCTATACTTGCAGTGGAGTGCCGGGGAGAAAACTTCTAGCTATGGAACTGAATGACACAGATTTCAAACTTGTAATATAACATTAAAATTAGTGGATTAGGTTAGGTGAGTTATGATTCTGTGATTTTTTTTGAGAGGGGTTTTACATTAAAATTGTTGATATTATGTCATTGTCATTCTTTATATATTTGCAATTTTTTACTGATTCTATGTGTTCGATAGTATGCTTGTGAGTATCTCTCTTGTGTGTTGTTAGTCGTTCTAATTGCATAAATCTATTATCAATTAGTGGAAGAGATTTGGAGAGATAAAGTTGATGAATTATGTTGCTTTAGATTGTATTGTTTTGGTTTAATACATATATTCACTAATGGAGTCGTTAGTCTTTATCGAATAAGGTTAATTGAATTAATTACTTAATTAATTTATAATCGAGTGAGATATGTTTTTATTTGAGAATTCAAAATATTTTTTTATCAATTTAAATTATGTTTCCGCTTTAGTTTAAACAGTTATTGTAATTCATTGAACGATTAATTAAGTTTTTATATTGAATATTTAATTATTTTAATCAAATATCATCTTTTGAAAGTGGTTTTGATACATTAATTTCTTCATATCTATTGTCTATACCGAATATCAAATTGAAATCATTCTTTTCAATTTTGTCGTTTTTTGCTGCCAATCTCAAATCGCAAGTTTTCAACATTGAAACATACGATTATGCATGCCATACACATAAGATTCACTTTTGTTGCTTATTTTTGCATCAATCCTTTTATTCATGATTGATTCAAACAATAGCCAAAATAGAGTTTTTTTTTTAGCTCTTCCTTGAAGTTTATTTCCTTCATGGTCCTTTAATAGTGCTTGCATGTTAGACCTGTATTAAAATGAGAAAATTCTGTTTTTCTCTCCATTGTGCTGCACTTGTTTTCTGACAATATTAGTTACACTTTTGTTGCAGTTCTCCTTCTTGAAGATGTGTCATAATCATACTCTATAGGTTGTCTGGGAGTCCTTCTTTTCAGCCCGTACCTCGATGTGCTCGAATTTTTTGTTGTAGGCATTTTTCCTAGTAATTGTCATTTTACTGTCTTCAAGGTATAAAACATAAATTACACACAATATTAAAATTGTTACACCTCATTAAGGTGGTTGTTATTATCCCATAGATGAATAGTACCAGTAAAGTCGGACAGTGCTAGTGCTCTCACTTACGGTGTTTGGCACAGCGCAAGGTTGTTACTATGTAAACTAATGCATGCTAACACATTTGTCACAATGATACTTCTTGTTATTGTCAGTTTAAAATATGCATATTGTCACGGTAACAATCATTGTCACTACCTGTATTTTAACACATATTGTCAAGAGTGACAGTCATTGTTGCTTCAACAACCTACACCAAAATTAAACCATAGTAGCTCATTTTTACAAAACAAATGTTTCAAACTGTAATTCTTATTATATTTGATAACAATGTGACACTTAAATCAAATCAAATTTGCAAACAAATACCACAAACAAAAAATGTCAAAAATGATACCGATTCATGGATATTACTATTACATATTCAACGATCAAGCACTAAACATATCACATTAAGTTGATATGTGTCATTGTAACACATTTTGAAAAACAATGACAGTGTAAAAAAAATGAATACCGTCATCAGAAATACATATTTAACGACCATAATCACTAAATATCAGCGGTAATGGATTTTTAAAACTTAAATACATCCGATATAAAAATCTAAGTTTCTATGGGCTTTTTCATTTTCTACACATAATTGTCCTTAATGACCCAAAAAATACATGTATGGACTAATCAACTCAAAAGATTATTATTATTATGACAAACCTCCAAAAAAACCCAAATTAAAAATCTGAGAATTTCCCTTAAATACTCGTCCTTCTATTATAGTGGGTCTGGGTCTGGGTCCACATGGGAACCTCTCTTATTACCATGGGGAACAATTGGGCTTTGGGTATCCTAATTTGCGCCAACATTTGGGCCTTGGTTATATAGGACCCCATCCTTATTTACATGACCAAAATGTTCCACCTAACTATGGGTTTAAAATTCTAGAAGTCGGAACTGGAAGCCTAAAATGGTTGTAATTGGCAACTAGTCCCGTTTAAGGATCAGATTTGGATTGGATTTCAGTTGATTTGAATACAAATTTAATTTGATAGTTTCGATTCGAATCCCATTCAAATATCCGATGAATTTTATTTTCACAATTTGTATCCCAAACTGGTAAAATTTCAAAATTCGATTCGATTTGATTAACTTAATTAAAGCTAAATTTTACCAAAATTAATCCAAATTTCAACTAGTTTCATAAAATACTATTCAAAGCCATTATATATTCATTTATATTTTATATATTCAAATTGAAATATAAATGGAGTGAGTTTGATATATCTAACTTTGAGTTCGTAAAAAGATGACATGACAAATTTGACTTCTAATTCAACGAATCGGTCCCAAAAAACAAATCATATCCCATTCATAAGATTCGATTTTGGATCAAATCATATTCCATTAATGAGATTCGATTTTAAATCAAATCTGATCCATTGATAGGCTTAGAAGCAATTGAAAAAGAGAAAAGGTATGAGGGGCTTAGAAAATTTTAAGAAGTCATGAGTTCATGAGAGGAATATGAACAAGAAAGAGAAAAGTTATGAGGGGCTTAGAAAATGATAAGAAGTCAGAAGTTCATTAGAGGAATATGAACAAGCAAGAGAGAGAGAAGGAGAGAGAAAATATTTTAACTTCCATGTATAGCAACCCACTCTCTCCTATTACCAATTTCAGATTGGAAATGACTGCAACTGATTCTCTTTCATTGATGTGATCTATAACCACTAAGTCATTACAAGCATATCTTTTTTTCTTTTCTGTTGGCATTGCTATGGAGTTCCTTTATATCATCAACTCTCCTTTGAATAATATCCATAAATATCTTGGCCATATAATAAGAAATAGAGTGGGAAAGTTCTGAAGGCACCCATCTGAGTAATTTTCCACTTTATACCTCAAAAACAAAAGGCCCTATAGCTTTATAGTAGCTTGAGAATGTCCAAAACAGTATCTGCAAATTCTGTCTGTTCCCTTTGTGGTAAAAAGCCAGCAGAAGATAGAAACCTCCTTCGATAGACACCCAAATATAATTTCAGTCTTTTCTGGTATTGCTGGGTCATTTCACCCAAATATGGGCCTAAAGGATATAAGAACATTGGTCCATATCAAAACATTATTTTTTTTGTATCTATTTTTTTTTTCTGTCAAGCTAGTTCTTATACCCGTTAAACTTCTTACTATAGAGTTAGAATCTTTTTCTCAAATTGGAGTTACAAGTTTGAATCTTTTTCTCATATTCTTTTTTTTTTTTTTCATTTCTATCACTTCACTCATTTATATTACATGCTAAATCATTTTATTTTTGGTTAGTTTGTGGCTCAATATAATTTTATTTTAGACATTGTTCATATATGATATTATGCACATGTTGATATTTTTTTTTAAGTCATGTATTTTGAGAAAATTTTAGTAATATTTTTTTAAAAAATAATGAGTATAAATTAATTTTATATTATATAATTAAAGTAAGGGAAGAAAAGAAAAAAAATATTATTTCATATAGTAGGATAAATTTTATATTGCATATATATACATTCCAATCATAAACCATTCCCACCCATGCCTTCTCACCCCTATTTTTTTATTTTCCTATCATTTCTCAAATTATTCTGCCATATTTTGTGACCCTTTTTGGTATTGAATTATAAATCATTAAATTATAATCTCTCTAACAATATCATAATAGAAGGTCATATGTTTGAACTTCACCGCCACTCAGATTATTAAAAAACAAATAAAGAATTTTTACATATTAGATCTCAAATCTAATCTACATGTAAATGCGTATTAAAATATAAACTTTAAAAATAGATAATTATTTAATGATCCACAGAAGAAATGCTTCTTCCTCTCTCCCCACCGGAATCCAAAAGATTGCAATATGAAAAAGATTTGGTTGTATCCCAAGGTAGGAACCATAAACAAATTATGTTGGCCTCTTTCTTATGTCTCTGGACAACCAATTTACTGTTGGACTTTTTTCGTACAATTACAGTTATTCATGATTGATCACATTTATAATTATCATTAATCTGTGGTAAATAATTGATAATCTCAATCAATTATAACTCCCCGTCGAATCATCCATAGTTAGCTTCGTCTGAAATATATTTTCTCACAAGGGAGGGGATATTGTTCAGTTGTAACTAGCATGTCAAATCATCAGTTACATTACTTTTTTTCCCAGAAACATCCCTAACACATGCAAGAGTTGGAAAGGAGATCTGTTGCAACTTGCATGTCAAATCATCTCCTGTTCATTACTTTTTTTTCCCCCCCAGAAACATCTCTATAATGTACACAATTCCCTTGCTACTAAATTAAATATTTGACCAAGTTCAGTGTACTAGTGTAGCAAGAGAACCACGCCCATCCGGCCAACCCCCTCGAAGAGAGAGAGAGAGCACCTTTTCTTGACAAATATTTCCCAACTATATTTTAATCCACTTCCCTTTTTTTTTTTTGGGTCAAGAATCCACTTCCCTTCGCTCACCGATGTTCTGAAGTTGGTTGAAGTGTGTGTCTTGGCACTATAAATACGAGGTTTCTCGTTCAAAGACGAACAAGAGATCTTCCAGCAGAGAGAAAACGTTATATCTTAAGTCTTGTAATCCTTCTGTTCTCTCATTACCCCTCTCTCTCTCTCTCTCTCTCTCTCTCTCTCTCTCTCTCTCTCTCTATATCTATCTCTCTCTAATGGCCAAAATTTCAGATTCTCTTGTAATTGGGAGAGTGGTCGGAGATGTTGTTGATTATTTCTCTTCAAGTGTTAAGATGATTGTCACTTACAACTTCAGAAAGCATATCCATAATGGCCAAGAGTTGTTTCCTTCTCTAGTGACCTCGAAACCTAGGGTTGAGGTTCCTGGAGGTGATATGAGATCCTTCTTTACCCTGGTATTTTTTTTTTTATTCCATCCATTATCTGATCTTTATATATATATATATATATATATATATCGTGTGTAGAACTCATGCAGCTGCTAGCTTTTTCTTCCAGATAATGACAGACCCAGATGTTCCAGGTCCTAGTGATCCACACCTGAGGGAGCACTTGCACTGGTATAGGCTCTTGTAAACCTCCATCTAACTACTAAGAATCAATTAACCTCTAACCAACCCGAATTATGGTGTTTGATATCATCCACTATCTCCAAAAAATATTGGGCGAACGGTGACACTTGTCACGTGGTGTCATGGCCATGTTCCTATATTAAACTTGTAAGCCAACAAATGGATACCATATATTTTAATAACCATCACTTTATGTCATGTGATAACCTACCCATCAAGAGGGGTTACTTTGTGATGGGTTACTTTGCTCACTTATAAATTTATTATAAGATAGCGATATTATGTAACAACGGCAACGGGACCCAATATTTTCTCTACTATCAACCGAAAAATAAATATTTAATGTTATTTTGTTTGGGAGGTATGTATTTTGCATTTAGGTCCCCCGTATAATGAGTAATCAAATATGTAATGGGAAAAGTAGTGTCTTAGTATTTGGGGGGTTACAAATATTAGTGGAGATAGTGGGGTATGTTATTGTAAAGCTTGGAGTAAGTGGAATTGAGTTGAATATGTAAAGATTCAAGTTGAACGAGTAAAGAGTAAGTTGTGGTTACATCTTTTCATGTTTACATTTGCCAATAAGGGGTGCACGGGGTTCTCTTCTGAGATTTGAAGAGAATTAGATGTAAAAAGTGTTAATTTAATTTTTTGTTACTAGGATGCTTATAAAGAACTAGATGTAGGAAGTTTTATCTCATACATAAAGAAGAGATCGTTTTTTGTAAACCCATCTTTAATGTTGGGTACATAGTTTATTGCTTTCTATGCTTAAGGAATATGCGAAGAACCTAAGCAGTCTTCACCAAAGATACAAATTTCTAGCAAGGGACTTACAGATGGTACATGATTTGATCACCTTACAGGATAGTCACGGACATTCCAGGCACAACAGATTCGTCATTTGGTACGTCCCACCCTCCTGTTAAAGGAAGGGCATGTTATGAAATGAATTATCACTGAAAATATTTTCCATGATCGGCTGCAATATTTTGTGTTTGATTGTGAAATATCGCAATCGGTCATGAATAACTTCAATCAACTATAATTTTACCTTTTAAAAGTGTAATATCATCTAAAACATTGTATTTTTTGTGATTGATTATAATATTTTATAATCGATCATAATTATGATTTGTAATTTAACCTTAAAAATATTGTAATTTGACCTTAAAAGATTGTAATGTCTTATATGATATCTTTTCCATACCATAGTCATCCTCTAAATAACTAACTTGTGGGTTTAACAAATTCACAGGAAAAGAGGTGGTGAGCTATGAAGTACCAAGGCCAAACATAGGGATTCACAGGTTTGTGTTTGTCCTCTTCAAGCAAAAAAAAAGACAGACAGTGGTCACTGCACCTTCTTCAAGGGATCAATTCAGTACTAGAAAATTTGCAGAGGAGAATGAGCTTGGCCTGCCTGTTGCTGCTACCTTCTTCAATTGCCAAAGGGAAACAGCTGCGAGAAGACGTTGATTGAAAGTACTAAGAGCGGAGGTTAGGGGTTGGCCTAATAGCCTCTGCCCCGTTATTAGATATTAAGATCGCGAGTTAAAACCTCATCGTTCCTTTTTCATAATAATGTCTGACAAAAAAAAAAGTACTAAGAGCAGACCATCACTAAGAACAGTGCATGTACATGTACATGTACTATATGTTAGTGCACTTGCTAAATTGTAGATATGTTTTGCTACTATAAATCTATGGGTGTGTGTATAACCTTTCGGAGCACATGAATAACCTTCTTGTATCATTGTTTCATCGATCAATGGGCAGCAAGATGCAATATTAGTCTTCCGGAAGAATAAAGCCAAATATAAACATATCAGTGGATCAAAAGTACAACGATGTATTGTTATCCTAGTAGTAAGTGAATAAATAATAAGACAAAGATAAAGGTTGACATACGTTTAAAATAAATAAACATTTCATTCATGGGAAAATTTGTAATGTACATCTTCAAAGCAAAAGTATCCAATTTGGGAGAACTCTTATTTTGTTTATACAAATATTGCTTGATTTTTGTGGGTTCCAAAGAAATTTATCATAACTTGTGTAAGGGGTAGAACCCTCCACTCAGGATTTCGGCTTGACCTGGGTTAACCCACGCGGGCGACCCCCCAGTAGCCTTTACCTCTCTTCGCCAATAGGACCCTTTCCTAAGGCAATCCCACATCGGAAGAGAGTCGTCTTCCCCCCTCGCAAGGGCTTATATGCGAGGGGGGAAGACGACTCTCTTCCGATGTGAGATTGCCTTAGGAAAGGGTCCTATTGGCGAAGAGAGGTAAAGGCTACTGGGGGGTCGCCCGCGTGGGTTAACCCAGGTCAAGCCGAAATCCTGAGTGGAGGGTTCTACCCCTTACAAAAAAGGCGCCTAGGCACCTGATCAGGTGTCGCTAGTGGGTACCTCCTCCTTTGAGTGCAAGGGCTTATATGCGAGGGGGGAAGACGACTCTCTTCCGATGTGGGATTGCCTTAGGAAAGGGTCCTATTGGCGAAGAGAGGTAAAGGCTACTGGGGGGTCGCCCGCGTGGGTTAACCCAGGTCAAGCCGAAATCCTGAGTGGAGGGTTCTACCCCTTACAACTTGTTTAATAAAAATATGATAAGATCAATCAGGATCTATCAATTTTAGTATATTTCAAATAACAATAGATGATGTTAAATACGAGTAATGTATTTGTCTTTGATCAGATGACCCATGTGATGTTTATGTATGTAAACGTAGACACGTTACATATTGTGTCAAATCACATATATCTTTGTGTATTGTTCAATATTTTTTACTCTTTTCGATCACTCTTCACTTATTATTAATTTCTACATCATATCGGAGAAGTCAATCTTTTCCTGCTTTATTTGTCCACCGAATTCCACTCTCTTTTAACAGTAAAAAAAAATCATCCAACCATTTATGTTAGGTGGTGTTTGACTGGTCATCTCTATTTTTTTTTACCCTATTTTCAGTTGGTTGCTATGTCTTGTGTGTGTTGTTATCCATGGTTTACGGGTTGTATAGTGACAAGGATGGTCCATTGCATCAGCAAACAGCCATATGTGAAGCAAAGTTTCTTCTCACGGTGGTGTTTCAAGAACAAGAGACAATTCCACTTTTGAAGGCCTCCATTAGCTATATGCTGCCCTTGTTATATTTTCTTACTCAGAGAGTGAGTGATGTATGGAGGTGGGTAGAATAAGAGTTGATAATAAAAGAAAGGGGATAGTGAAATTAAAGCATTGATTTGCGCATAAATACCGAATTAAAATTTTATTCTAGAGCTGTTGATTCACAAGAATACTAGAACAATTGAAAATAAAATAAAGGCTCTCTCAATTATATTAATCAATCCAAAACTACATAGCCAAGGCTTACAAAGGTATAAATAGTGTTAAAACCCTAAAACTAATTAGGAAATAACCAAACGTGACATAATTATCATTAATTACGTAATTAAGCTATTAATACAGATTTAGCCATAAAATTTTTTTAAACTAATTGTACCATTAAAAACTACTAATCACCTAGATTAAGACAGACGGTTAAGTTATTCAACTATAAAATACTATCAAAAAGAGCAAAAAGGCCCTTTTCAGCCCTAAACAAAGAAATTTGTTTGAAATCTGCACTAGATCATCACATCCCCTTTTAGGGGTGCGATGAGTTCACTTTACCCTGCCATTACTGAATAGACATGAGTGTTTGGAAACACATATATATGGAAGTGCCTCTGAAAAGGCCAACCCGTTTGACTAACTCAAACCACCCTGACATCGATTCAAATATTGTGTTGTTATACGATCTACATCATCCTCTCCATCTTTAGAAGAAGTCGCCTTCGAATTCTCAAGCTCGTCTTCGGAGTTGTTCCCACAGTAAGGAACAAGGTGTTTGACATTAAAGACATCCGAAATACAAACATGACTAGGAAACTTCAAGCTGTAGGCATTCAAAATTATTTTCTTCACTATCTCCGGTGGTCCAATTTTTCATACTGAGAGCTTGTTGTTTTCACCAATTGAGAATCTATCTTTGGTGAGAATGGCCTAAACAAAATCCCCAGTCTCAAACTCCACTGAACGACAGTGCTTATCAGTGGATTCTTTATACTTGGAGATAGAGTCAAGAAGCTTCTGATAAGCAAATTGGTGCACCTCCTTCAATTGCTGATAGGGGTGCAACTTGGGTTGGGTAACCCGATTTCAACCCGAGTCCAACCCTAAAAAATTAGGGCTTGGGTAAGAGTTTTTAATACTTGGGTTGGACTTGGGTCAAAAAATCACAACCCGAATTCAATTTGGGTTAAGCTAGGGTTAAGATCTCGTAAACCCGAGTTCAACCCAAATCCGATAAATTAAAAAAAAATTATATATATATATATATATATATAAAGCATTAGCACTGATTTTTCATTTTTGTTCTATCGTTCTCTATCTCTCTCTTTCTCTTTGCCTCTCTCGTTCTCTCAGCCTCTCTCGTTAAAAACTTGATTGAAGTTATTGGTTGTTAATTTAGGTAAATATTATGTAATATATGTATTAGGTTTAGAATAACAAGTCTATTTTGGGCTCTACCCAAATTGAACCCGTAAAATAAACAGAAATCAGCCCGAAATCAACAACCTGAATTCAATCTGAGTCTGCCCGAATTAAACTCAGGTAGTGCTCGGGTTGAGTTCCCCAACCCGAGGTAGGGTTAGGGTTAGGATTAGGGTTGAAGATTGTATACTTAGAATTGGGTTAGGGTTGATTGTCCAACCAGCTCAACCCGCCCAAATTGCACCCTTAGTTGCTAAATAAAATCTTCAATTTTGCCACGGACTATTTTCAAATCAGGGACTGGAATTAGATCAAGGGGTGATCTTGGGTTATCACCATACACGATCTGGAAAAGGCTACAACCAGTACTAAGGTTAAAAACAAACTCTACCTGATAGATCTTCTGATTCCAACTCTTCACATGATCACCCACCAAACTGCGCAATAAGTTACGTACTGAATGGTTGACTACTTCAATTTAACCATCAGTCTGAGGATGATAGGCTTTATTGAACTCCAGCTTCGTGTTGGCCTGTCTCCACAAACTGTGCTAAAAGTGACCCATGAAATGAGTATCGCAATCGGAAACAATAGATTGCGGTAGACCATGAAGACAATAAACATCCTTGAAGTCCAGATAAGCAACCTGAGATGCATTAGTGGTCTTCTTGCAATGAATGAAATGTGCCATTTTAGAAAATCGATCCACCACCACATAAATGGAATCACTATCCCGTTGGGTTCGAGGTAAGCCCAGAATATAGTTCATGCTAACGTCAACCTTATTACCAATTTTGCACTGAAGGTTCCCAAAATACGAAGTTTGATTAAGAGCTAATCAAATTATTTTTTGGTTCATATTTAAGTATCACGTGATAAATTTATAATAAAAACACCGTTAACAATTTGCTTGACAGACAACATCGAAACATATTCAATACTTTAGAAACTAAAATGATAAAATTAAAATTTTGAGGACTAATATAAGATAAATCTCATACTTTAGAGATCTCCATTGTAATTAACCCTCATTTTTAAATTTTGAAGGTTTTTAATTTTTTTCTTCCCGATTTGAGATTTTCATTTGATTTTTTCCCAACAAATTGTTTAGGTAGAAAGCCCCACTAATTGTTTGTTTTGGCAAAATGGATAAAAAAAATTGAAAGAAAGATTGTATGAATTATGTACCTTCAATTCTAATGAGAAAAAACCTTATTTCTTTCTTTTGTAATTGGTAAGAGGATGAAAAGTGAGAGGAAAATGTGTCTTTTTTTTTTTTTTATGTTTGATTTGATTGAAAAATAGAAAGAACTAAAAATGTGTACTTGTAATATTTTACTATTAAGTGGATACATATAAAACAAACATCAAGGAATATAAAATTAATAATTGTTATCCTAATTCTTGAAAGACAAGGTTTGAATTTTTCATTTAATTTTCAAAGATAAATTTTGGTTAATATGAAAGAAGACATTTTTTTTTCAATGGTGAAAGTGTCTAAATCAAATTTTTGAATATTTCGACTAATTCTCCCCTTTGGTCAAAAGTAATTTATTCCCACCGAGACAACCACTTGAGGTACCAATTAACACAAAAGAAAACTCATCATTTTATTTCTGTTTCCAAACCAATTGTGATTAATGGAAGCTCTTTATCCCAATAACCTGCACCTAGCAAGCTAGCTTGCTTAGGTATATTTGCAAGCTACTTAGGAGATCTCAGCTTTAGGAGAGATTTCGATAGTGCATAGGACAGGTAGAGAAATATTGCGAAGTGCATAGATAGAGGAGGAAGTCTTTCTCGAGGAGGGGAGTTTACCTGCTATTTCTCATTCTTTGGTTTCTATATTTACCTACAGACAGTACTGTTGAAAACTCAGGTAAACTCCACATCCATACACATATGTTTAAACAAAATGACTATTTCTTGCAAGGATTTGTT